GCTGCCCCTGCAAAAACAGCCTGTGCAAAATGAAATTCCTCAGGCCTGTAGCAGCCTCTGTTGTTTCCATGGTGGACTTTGCCCCCCTACTGAAGGGGCAGGGAAATCGGGGTGCTCAGGAGCAGCTGCACATCCAGGACAGGAAGGATGCAGGTCACTGGACCTTTGGTCTCTCCTCTACGTAGTAACAAAAAGCTAGGGTAGAGGAAAAGTACCAAGAGGTGCCTTCTTCTCGCTACCCCCTCAGGCTGTGCTGGGAGCTGAACTGAGCCCAGATGGTTTCATGTAGATGTGCTGTACTGAGGACCTGGGCTGGGAAGTAACTGAGATCTTTGTGCATCACGGTGAAAACACACCTGAAAAGTTGCCAGTTCACAACTCATTCTGTCTATTTTTGCTTGTTCCTTTAGGCTTGGAAACTAGAGAATGATCAGTGAAGCTTTTCTATTCATTGCACATTAGCCATTTTAGATGAGTTTTTTTGTTAAAGCCTTTGTCCTCATGAAATGTTCAGTGTGAGGGCCTTCTCCCACAGTGACTTCTCTGTGTTAAAACATTAAAGAACTGCCTATTTGTTCAGTTTATAAGGACAATGTATTAGATCATGTCCTAATAAATGAAGATTGACTGATATGCCCTCAGTAGCTGAGGGAAGTGTGCTGCATGTCATATTTAAGCTCTTAGCATCTCAGAATAGGTAAGAAAAATGGCTGCTCTCAAATCCCAGAAAAAGCAGGGCAAAGGATCTCCCCCCAGAACAATCACTTCTCTGCAGAAGTGATGGAGTGGATGTTCAGATGTCACTGTAGCAAGTTCAATTCTACACATCTAATTAATGAGACATTATCAAAAGTGACAGGCAAAAGTCTGCACTTACAGAGAAGATAACAACAGTGTATAATTTTAAATGAATTGCCAGCAGTGGTCCAAACAGTGGACCTTCCATTTTAACAAATGGAAGGTTTTATATATTCTGTAACTAATATAAAAAATGAAAAATGTTTGTGTTCTGAGAGCTCAATGGAAAATGATTATGAAAAGGTCCCTAATAATCCAGATTCATCAGTTGTTTGCATTAGCCTGTTAAATACAACTACACTCCTGATGAAAGCTGAGATGCTGAGGTCCAGGAGGAACTGGAGGGAAGTGCTGTCCAGCTCAGGGTAGAAGACCTATGCTGAGTGCCTCCTTACTGCCCAACCCAGCCTAATCATGCAGAGAGGACACTCTTCATCCTCATTTTACAGATGGACAGAGGTACTGAGCTCTAAGGAGATTACAGCAAAGTACTCCATTCCTGTTGGCAGCTTGGACACAGGATTATGATGGAAGGGCTGTATCTTCAAAAGATAGCACTATTTCTCTTATTCCAGTACCACTCATCTCTTTGTCACTGCACTGATGTAGCCCCAGAGACACAAAAATCATGCTCCTAACTGAAACTCTTAAATCTGTGTATGAATTATCTGTTGGCAGATCCGGAGCTACAAGAGCCAGGAAACCCATCCAGCTTTGGAAAGCCATGCCAGCCTGGCACAAGCAAAAGGGAGAAAAGAAATCAGGCTTAAGAAGTCTTTTTTTCCTCTCTCTCTCTCTTTTTTTTTTTTTTTTTTAAGAGTGCCTGCAAAACTTAATTTCCTCATTTAAAAGCATGAGAACAGTGAGTCAGAACACCCTATAACACCAAGCAAAATAAACTTGCACTTGCATTTTTTCTAAATCCTTTGTCAACAACCTTCACAAGCTTCTTTGCACCAGCTGTTACATTTTAAACCTGAGAGGTCTGACTGTATGACATGACCTTTGCCTACTTGCCTCTACCCAGTTAGCAGCTAGCTTAAGGACTTAGTGAGAAGCTCAAAATAATCCATCCTGGAAATGCTCCCATGTGTACATCCCTCTGGCTACAGAAGAGGTTCACCCTTAATATCTTGGATTTTGGACTTTGATTGTGCTTCCTAAATAGCATTCACCTTAACAAGAGGAGTTCATCTTTAAGCACAAACAGATAACACACAGCGAAGAACAGACTCGGGGGTGAGTGCCTGAGCAGCTCGTTCGGTTGTCAGTTCTTCCCTGCAGCTTCCCCCCAGTCCCAGGAGCTGCAGCTTCTAGCAGCAAAATCTTAGTGGCTGGTGAAGCTAGAGGTGCCCCAACCAACTGGTCAGGAGCTGCTGGTATGAAAGCAAGGCGAGAGCATCATGTTCCTGTTCCCCAAGGCTTTGCTCAAAGGCAGAGAGGGGGAGCTAAGCATCATTATGATATCAAATAAGCATGAGAATCTCTTCCTCTCTGACCTAGAGCTACTAGGCTTAAATACAAGAAATGCTTTAAACACCCACTGCAGCTGCCCTCCAAAGCTAAAGGTTATAGCCTTGAAAGTCTTGTTGTCTTTGATTTATTTTGACAAGAGTTGAAATTGAACTATTTGTACAGCAATATGGA